AAAGGTCACCAGTTCAATTCCCAGTCAGGGCACAAGCCTGGGTTGCAGGTTCAGTCCCCAGTCAGGGTGCGTATGAAAAGCAACCAATTGATGTCTCCCTCTCACATCAATGATTCTCTACCTCTCTTTCTCCCTCCCTTCCCCTCTCTTTCTCTAAAAATAAATAAATTTAATTAAATCTAATATTGACAAGATTGCAGAAAAAGCAGCAGTCTCCTGTTGCTGGGAATAGACACTGGTAGGCCCTCTTTTGAAGAAAATTTGGCAAGAGCTACCAATTTTTAAATATATACTCACCTTTGACATAGAGTTCACTGGAATTTACTTGCAAAAACACGCAGTGACACAAAAATGCTTGCTGCAGCATTCTTTGGATAACAAACTTCACAGAATTTATATGTCTACCAATAAATGAATAACTAGGTAAATTTCTTACAATGAGAATACTACACAGGCATTAAAAAAATAAAGAATATCTATAAGTGATAATATAAGATTTTAAAGATGTAAGTTAAAAAAAGCTACAATGTGATAAATACACACATATACACACATAAATACAGAAAGATTGTATAAACACACAAACATATGTATTTGTATAAGCATAACATTTTGGAAAAATACAAAAGAAATATTAAAGGGGGTTGACTCTGAGGAATACAACTAAGAGTAAGGAAAAAGAGAAAGACTTGTTAAATGCTAAAATTTGCCATCCAGCTATAATATTAAAAAGCGTATGGCCCTGGCTGGTGTGGCTCAGTGGATTGAGTGCCAGCCTGCAAACCACAGGGTCACTGGTTTGATTCCCAGTCAGGGCACATGTCTGGGTTGCAGGCCAGGTCCCCAGTAGGGGGCGCGTGAGAGGTAACCACGCATTGATGTTTCTCTTCCCCTTCCTCCCTTCCCCTCTCTCTAAAAATAAATAAATAAAATCTTTAAAAATCTTTTAAAAAAAGTGTATGATAACACCTTAGAGAAATATTTGGCAGATTATTATAACGTTAAACATACATCTGCCCTATGACCCAGCAATTCCACTCCAAGTGATTAACCAAGGAGAAATGAAAAAGGTATGTCCACAAATAGACTTGTACAAAAATGTTCACAGCAGCATTATGATAGCCCCAAACAAGAAAAAACTCAAATGTCCATCAACAGGAGAGAATGGATAAACAAACTGGTGAATTTAAACAATGGAATATTACTTAGTAACAAAAAAAGAATAAACTACTGATACAAGAAAAATTAGATGAATCTTATAGACATTCTACTGAGTGAAAGAAGCCAGGCACAAAAGAGTGTATGTATATATGTGTGTGTGTATACACACACACATATATATATACACACTATTTGATCCCATTTGTATGAAATTCTAGGAGCAGCCAAACTGTCTTATGATGACAGACATAAAAAAGTCTTAGCCTGGATAGGGGGAGGAGGTTGGAGAGTGGAGGAGAGGTGTCTGAGGGAAGCCAAGGGATTTAGCGGAAATAGACACAACAGAACTTTTTGGAATGATGAAAATGTTCTATATCTTGTTTTAGCTGGTAATAACATGGATGTATACAATTGTCAAAACCAATCACCCATTTAAAGCTTACAATTAAATGGTTTTTAGTATCCTCACAGATAGGTGCAACCGTAACCACAATCAGTTTTAGACCATATTTATTACCTCAAAAAGAAATCCCACTCTTTCACTATCACTCTCTCCCCTCCCCTCCCTCCCTGTCCCAACTACTAACCCACTTCCTGTCTTTATATTTGCCTATTCTGGACATTTCATATAAATGGAATCATGTATGTGGTCTTTGCTGACTGCTTTATTTCACTTAGCAAAATATTTTCAAGGTTCACCTATGTTGTAGAATGGCTGAGTACTTTCATTTCTTTTATGGCCAAAGAATATTCCATCGTATGAATATACCACATTTTGTTTACCTATTCATCAGTAGATGACAGATATCTGGGATTTTTCAACTTTTTGGCTATCGTGAATGATGCTGCTAAAAACAATTGTGTTGTGGAGAGAACTGGGCACTTTATTATATGAAAATCATATAGCTCGATTTTAAGAAAGAATATGGATATGAAAAATACTGTTTCTACAAAACATGATTTCTGAGTATTTCAAGTGGGTGGCAGGAGAAAAATATGTCAGATTGGAAAGCCAATTATAATAAAAACCATATTCTTTCACAGGAGAAAAAAAGTTGTGTGTCAATAAAAACTTAACAAGTAACTGAAATGTCACATTCATCTCCTCACGAAACAGAAGTTTCCTGTATGAGAGTGAGGAAGCTGTCTGAAAGGAGAATGTAAATCACTGTCCTCAAATGCAAACTGTAACACTTCGGGCTTCAATGACCATACCATGGAAATATTTATTATCATCCTCACTTCTTTACATCCCATTAGCAACAAAAACAACCACCTAATTCTTATGATGGCTAAAAGAAACAGTTTAGTCTATTTACCAAAAGTAGAAAAAATAGTTAAAAAAATAATGTCTGGGTAGTATTAGGCACAATATTTACATAGAGATATTGATGCTTTGTGGCTGCCATACCAGAAGGAAAATTATGTTCTCTACAAATTAAAGAATGTTCTTTTCCTGGAAGGGTTATAAATTACTCTCCATACTCTGATACAAACAAGGGATTAATTACTAGCAGCAAACATTATGGAATCCATTTGTAGAAATAAATGGTAGGAAGAGTACTAGTAATTACTCTGTTCTTACTCTGTTTCGGTAACTCTGCTACACACTTTACATACACATATTTCCTAATTTAATCCACACAACAACCCTACAAAGTAGATTTTATTCCCATTTCACAAATAAAAAAATGAGGATCAACAAAGCTACATATAATGAAAAAGGTAAAAAGGCTAAGATCAAACGTAAGACTTCGTTCACAAAGAACACATACCTGCAGTTGAGGTACACTCCCTTACATATGCCTTTCCATTCACAGCCACTATTCCTAAAAGCTTATCTACATGATTGTTGCTACTTTCTCATTTCTAATTCTGCCCAAATTTCCATGTGCTTCCATGCAAAACATTTCCCTAAAATTGCTCCAAGACTGCCAGTGACCTGATAATAGCCAAAGCCAAAGGCCACCTCTCACTCTTTACTGAGTTAACTTTTCTGGCCTGGCCTCTTACTTTTGAAACACTTGGATAACTGACCATTTCTTCTCATTATTCTTAAATGTCCCTTCTTCTCTACCTACACCTTTAACTGTTATATCCTCTAGGGTTTTATTCTTGATGTTTGTGCTAGGTTTGCCAACACAGTATGCCACATAGTATTTCCTCTAATTGGGTAGATCATTTAATAGCCTCAATGAATGAAATTCATTCATTGTCCAGGAACGGACTCTTGCTTACAGCATTTACTGGGTTTACGTGGACTCTATCACCCTAAAGCCGTTGGGCTGACAGAATAATGTAAAGGCCTTTTGCAGACTCTGTAATGGTGCCAGCAACACTTTGCAGGGCTAGGGTAATGGTCTCCAAAACAGGAACATACTCTGAATCAATGATGCTGTTTCACCACAGTCAGGATACACAAGTCTCCTGGGAATCAAAGGATGGGAAAGGGAGTGGCTCCTCTCACTATTATCCCTACTGAACTGCTAGCAAAATTTTTACCTGCCATTCCTGAAACATGTATTACAGTAACAGCACAAAGGATAAGAGCGGGTAAATGGAACTACTCTTGTAAAATTCCCTTGTGTGGAGTAGTATAACATTATTTGAAGGTAGACTGTAATAAAGATCATGCTGTAAATCCTAGAGAAACCACTAAAGAATAAGAAAAAGAGCCCTGCCTGAGTGGCTCAGTTGGTTGGAATATGGTTCCGTACACCAAAATGTTGCAGGTTCGATCCCCAGTCAGAGCACATACCTAGGTTGCAGGTTCGATCTTCAGTTGGGGTGCATACAAGAGACAACCAACTGATGTTTCTCTCTCTCTCTTCCCTCCCACTCCCTTCCTCTCTCTAAAAACCAATAAATATGTCCTCAGGTGAAGACTTAAAAATAAATAAATAATCCAAAAGAAGAAAGAAAAGAAAATACTAAAAATTACCCAATTAATAAAAAGATAGCATGAAAAAGATAAAGGAACCAAAGGACAAGACAGAAAACAAATAGCAAGGTGGCACCTTATATTGCAGCTACCTGTGTGTACGTATCTTACTATCTTTCTCTCTTACTCCCCATCTATGTACATTTTCTCTACTAAATTATCAGCTTACTAAATTTGAGTGATAAACAGAAATAAACCAAAATTAACTGCTATAATGAATACAGTATTAATTCTAACGCCTTTATTTTAGAATCTGTGAGAATTTATAAAATTGTACTTAATTCATACATAAGACAATATGGAAAAATATAAAACTCACCTATCCATAAGTCCCAGAATTTTAGTGCTATATTAGTTTAGAAATTTCTTTGTATAATTTCTTCATTTTATAATTAAGGAAACTAAGAATCAAAGTGAGTAACTGAACAATGAAACTAATCACATGGCCAGTCAGCAGTACACTCATAATAAAATTTTTATTTTATAACTTCTAATTAAGTTGTCTCAAAAAAAAATTTCCTTGAAACACTAACCACATATACAGCTATATATAATTAATATGTTCATTTTAAATGATTCATATCTAGCAGGTCTAGCCAGGTCTCTACTTGGAAACATCCTGTTAGTTAAATTGTACACCTATTTGAAAATAGTCAAACTTTAAAAAATATAAATTGTTGAATTTAGAATATCAACTAATTCAAATACTCATCAATTAATCAAGATCACTGAAGTATACAGTACATAAAGGAAAATAAAACACACTGTGTCTAAACAATCGTTTAAAGCACTGGCTACCAAATTCAAAGAACACAATCTTTCATTCAAATCAATGATTAATCATTCACATTATGCCAAATGATAATAAAAAATGTGTGAACTCTCTGTGCAGTATTACCTGTAGCTCCAAGCGGGTGTCCCTTTGAAATCAATCCACCACTAGGATTTATGACCCACTTTCCTCCATACGTATTATCTCCTCTATCAACCAGTTTTCCACCTTCCCCTATAGAAGAAAAAATATATTTACAAACGTTAAAAATAACATTGGAACAAATGATGTGTTTTTAAAGATTTGATATAGCCAAGAATGTTTTACAGCAGACATTTCTTAACAGCTCAAACTAGCATCAAACTGATATAAGTACATCTAAAAGTTAGGTAATAAATGTTGAGTAATAAAGGCTGGTATTTTCAGAACATTTCCTATATGACACAATGCACCTATTAATTCCTAAGAGCTCTCTGGTTTCCAAAACTGCTACAAACATAATAGAGATTCAGAGAAACAAAAGAAAAGAACTGGAATGAATATAATACTATAACTAAATTATATCAGCTTTCAAAAATCGTGATTTTGCCAAAATGTATTAATTTCCCTACATTTTCAACTGTATTCATACACTATATAAATGTTCTTAATAAACAGGGAAGAGGGAGGGATAGACAGGAAAAAAAGGACACTTTATGAAATGAAGGAAAATGGCTGAAAATACTGTTAAGCTATAAATGTAAGCTCAAAAGAAAAAATTACATCACATGCTTAGCCACTTCAATATTCCTATAAATTCCCATGACATTCTTTCAGGTGGTAAAGAAGTAAATAAAAATACATGGCACTGTATATAATATTCTTCCAAATGACATTTCTGATAAAGCAATGAGAGGTAAATCTCGAAATAATGATGATAATGGTTGTTGCCAGAGGCAGCTCATCGCTTTTAAGCACTCATTCTGTCTTGCCTTTTTCTAATTATTTTACATGTATTTACATAATTTAATTCTCAAACCTATAAGATATAATTAATATGTAACATTAGTTTCAGATGTACAACGTAATGATTGCAAAATAAGTCTAGTTAATATCCATTTCCAAATGTAGTTATGAAATTTACTTTTTAAGGTCTATACACTTAGCAACTTTAAAATATACTATACAGTATTATTAACTATAGTCACTATGTAATGTAGTTGTACATTACACTTCATGACTTATTTATTTTATAACTGGAAGTTCATACATATTTCATCCATTTTGTCCAACCCCCTACCCCTCCCCTCTGGCAACCATCAATGTGTTCTGTGCATATATGAGCTTGGAGTTTTGTTCCTTTTTCTTTTTTTTCAGATTCCATAAACTGAGATCTCATATAAGTGGGATCACATGGTATTTGTCTTTCTCTGATTTATTTCACCTAGAATAATGCCCTCAAGGTCCATCTGCAAATGGCAAGATTTTCATTCTTTTTTATGGCTGAATAATATTCCATTTTATTTTTTTTATATATAAAGGACATTTTCTTTATTCATCCATCTGTCAATAGACATTTAGATTGTTTCCATATTTTAGCTGTATAAATAGTGCTGTAATGAACATGGAGAAGCATATATCATTTTGTTAGTGTTTCCATTCTCTTCAGTGTATAGAACAGTACCTCTAACAAAAAGGGGAAGCTAAATAAATGGAAACATATACCATCTAATGGATTGGAAGATTCAACATTGCTAAGATGTCAATTGTCTCTAAATGCGTCTACTGATTCAATGAAATCCCAATGAAAATTCTAGTCAGGGGAGTTTTCACTGTATTTTTGTAGCAATTGACACTACTTCTAATAAATACACAAAGATGAAGATGTATATGGCCTAAAATAATCAAAGTGATTTTTCACAAGAACAAAGTTGGAGAACTTAACCCTATTTGATTTCAAGACTTGTTATACACTCTAGTACTACATAGTGTTAGTACAATGGCCAAGATAATTTTGTTTAGTGAAAAGATAAGAATGTAGATCGAAAAAGTCAAGAACTGGATCCTCATATATATATATGGACAATTGATTTTGCACAAAGGTGCCAATGTAATTCAATGGGAGGAGAAAAGTCTTTTCAGCAAATGGTGCTGGATATGTGTATGAAATAAAAAATGATTAATACCAACCTTTATGTTACACCATACACAAAAACTTACTCAAAATAGATTATATACTTGAATATAAATTCTAAATCTACATCCACCCACTCCCCCAACCCACTCCGACCACTGCCTGGAGCTGTGCTGGGCCTGCAGGTCTATGGCGAGCCACAGACGTGGGTGTCTCTTCTGCAGAATGGGATTTGTTAAAGTTGTCAAAAATAAGACCTACTTCAAGAGACAGCAACTGAAATTTTGAAGACAAGAAGAAGATAAAACCGATTACTGTGCCCAGAAACACTTGGTCACCAGGGATAAAAATAAGTACAACATACCCAAATACAGAATGAGAGTCTGCATAACTAACAGAGATGACACTTGTCAGATGCTTATGCCCATAAAGATATAGAAAGAGATATGATAGTCTGTATAGTTTATGCTCATGAATTCCCCAAGTATGGTGTGAAGGTTGGCCTGACAAAATATGCTGCAGCACATTGTAGCGGCCTGCTGCTGGCCCGCAGACTCCACAATAGGTTTAGCATGGACAAGATCTAGGAAAGCCAAATGGAGATGACTAGGGATGGGAATACAATGTGGAAAGCATCAATGGTCAACTGGGTGCCTTCACCTGCTACTTGGATACAGAGCTTGCCAGAAGTACTACACGAAATGAAGATTTGGGGGCATTAAGGGTACCAGTTCCCTGGTTATGATTCAGAAAGCAAGGAACTCAGTGCAGAAGTACATTGGAAACACACCGGGGGTTAAAACATTGTAGATTATGTGTGTTACCTAAGGGAAGAAGATAAAGATGCTTACAAGAAACAATTCTCCCAGTACATAGAGAATAATGTAACTCCGAACATGAAGGAGGATATGTAGAAGAAAGTTCATGCTGCTGCTACCTGAGATAATCCAGTGTATGAGAAGAATCCTATGAAAGAACTTAAAAAGAAGAGGTAGAACCATCACAAAATGTCTCTTACCCAGAAGAAATATCAGGTAGCTCAGAAGAAGGCAAGCTTCCTCAGAGCTCAGGAATGGGCTGCTAAGAGCCAATAAACCAGCCAATAATTTTCTATGACAATTTTTCAGATAAAGACAATAATAAACTTATTGGCCAAGCAGCTAAAAAATATAATCTAAATCTGTAGAATTAGAATAAAAATAGAAAAAATCTTTATGACCTTTAGATAGGCAGAAGTTTCTTAGAATGCAAAAAACATGAACCATTAAAAATACTGATACTTTATATTTCATCAAAATTTCAAAAATTTATTGTTCAAGTTATACCATTAATAAAACAAAAAGGCAAGCCACAGCCTGGGAAATAATGTTCACAACATACACATACCAAATGACTTGTATCCAGAATTCATATATTCTTATGACTCAATAAAGAAGGCAAATAACCCAGTAATCAAAGGGCAAAAGTTCTGAAACAGACACTTCGCAAAAGAAGATATACAAATGACCAACACGTGCATGCAAAGATGCTTACATCATTAGTTATCATAGATATGCAAATTAAAATGAAAATAAGACACACCACATACTCTTTAGAATGGCTAAAATTTTTTAAATTGACCCTATCACGTACTGGTAAGGATGTGAAGCAACTAAAACTCTCATACACTGCTGGTACAACCACTTTAGAGATGAAGAAAAAAGAAAAATTCCTCCAGATCCCATAAACTAGTTTTTCCATTTTCCTTTCTGAAAGTCTTTATTCAAACACAATTTGAAATAGTTGGAATTACAAATGTAATTTAATGACAGCATGGATGGACTTGGAGAACGTTATGCTAAGTGAAATAAACCAGTCAGGGAAAGACAAATACCATATGATTTCACTCATATGTGGAATCTAGTGAACAAACTGAACTAACAAGAAAAATGGTGACAGACTCATAGATGGAGAGCAAGATGACAGCTAGTGGGGAGTGGGAGGAAGGTTAAGGGGTAGAAGGATGGAGCAAAAAGGAAAAAGGACTCATGGACATGGACAACAGTGTCGTAATTACTGGAAGGGAGGCGGGTATAAGGGGACTAAATGGTAATGGAAAAAATACAATAAAGATTAAAATAGCCCTGGCTGGTATGGCTCAGTGGACTAGGTGCCAGCCTGAGAACTGAAAGGTCACTGGTTCAATTCCCCATCAGGGCACAAGCCTGGGTTGCAGGTCAGGTTCCCAGTTGGGGGCATGTGAAAGGCAACTGATCAATGTATCTTTTGCACATCAATGTTTCTCTCCCTCTTTCTCCCTCCCTTCTCCTCTCTCTAAAAATAAATAAATAAAATATTTTTTAAAAAAGATATTACCTTCTGGACAGAGTCCCAATGCTTCATAAGTAATGAGTTCATTAACAGAAAAGCAATCATGAAGTTCTATTATATTAATATCACTTGGTCTCAGGCCAGATTTCTCATAGCACTTTCTGGCAGCTTCTTTAGTCATATCAAAGCCAACCTAAAACCAAAATCACAAATAAATAAATTAAGGGCAGCAAAACTGGGACTTTTATATAAGGATTATAAGGGATTAATATGTCTAAACCTAACAGCTGAGAAATGACCACATGTATTGAAATATCTGTTGATTCTATATTATTCAAAAGTCCAAATAAAAGGATATCCAGGAGGAAAAATATACATATTAAATCTGATACCATAAAGGGCAGAATTTTAAGTAAGATACGTAAAAAGGACTTATAATTCTTCACGCCGTATCTTACGTTAAATTACAAAAACTTATCAATCCACAATGTATAGTTGTGGTAAATAGGAAGAAGAGGTTTATCAACAGATCATTATGACACACTGAGAAATAAAAGTGTAATTTTTATATGAAAATAAACAATCTTCTTTTAGAAGATCATATGGGATTCAAAACATTTTTCCAAAATCTATGCTTTTAACACCTCTTTGGTCTCGATAATAACATGCAAATTAAACTATGCTACAGAGAATAAAACTGTAGCATAGTGGAAAATGAACTGTAAACAAAAAACCTAAATATAAGTTGTACTTCTACCACACCCCAGTGCCCTAGCTTTGAGATATTGGGCAAGTTACCGGGACACTCAAATTCAGAGGATTGTTGTAAAAATCACTTACTAAACTGTAGTGCAGCGTATGTTTATATATGTGTGTGTATTTACATATGTCTATATTTTATACATGTATGTATGTATATATCTTCAAATATTCAACTAACACTAGGTCTGAATCTCTTTTCTTCCTCCATTTTGTACTTAATCTTCAATCAGAATTTTTTTAAGCATCATGAAAGTTCCCTAAAAACATTTTTGCGTATTTAGCCAATACAACATAAAAAAAAAAAAAATAGCAAGTCTAGTTAGTTCAAAGTTATCATATAATGATGTATGGCTCTATCACAGGAAGCATACGTTCTCATCAGTTATCTTCCCCTAACGGGTTCTTAAGAATGAATTATACTATTGGATTTTCTAGAGAACTTCTCGAGTATATTATATACGGAGCCAATAACAGCATCATGTCACCTTGAAATTTTTAAGTGAAATCTCTTGGTTTAATAAATAAACCAAGTTTATAAAGTTCTTGTTTAATAAATAAAACAGAACTTCAGACAAACCATTTTAATAATGCTGTTTTCTTCAAATGTGCTTGGAAAATCAGTCACCATCTCCTGAGCCAGAATTTCCACAGCTTTGGAATGAAGGTTATGCTTCCACACAAAATCTTCATCGGCCAAAACTGCTGCTGCAGCGCCATCTGAAGTAGGACTAAGGGGAGGTAAAAATAATTATTTACACCTGATCCACCTCAATCCTAAGATTTCAGACTAGAAGTTCTTTCTGGAATGAAAGGTCGAGTGTGCCTGATGGTCCCTTAGTCTTCTGTGTGATATCTACAGTTAAAATTTACACATGCTTCCCCACTGCGGACTGAACTTCTAACAAGAATTTAAAGGCTGCCAGTCACTACTTGGTCTCTAAGAATCTTTCCCAAGAAGTTATTATGGCAAAGAATCCTGGATTCGCTTCTATAGGTATATAAAGCATCTTTTGGTGACTTCTGAAAAGTACACAAGGTCATTCCTACCCCAATACAATAAAGATTCTACAATAGGCTTAACTAGCTCCAACTCCACTATGTCCCCAATAACTCAGTCTTGGAATCCTTTTGTAAACTGAAAAAGGATGGAACAGAAGATACCAAAAAGCCCATGGTTTGGTTAAGACTCTTGATATCTCCTCAAAATAGATCTTTTCCTTAGAGTAGGCTGTGAAGGAAGGTGGCAAACACTGAAGCCTTCTGCGAGTTCAGGTGGACTTCATAAATAGGCTGACCTTCATACTGCAACAGATAAAAGCTGACCCCACTTGTTCCCAGGCATCCAGCCAGTAGCTCCAGGTCACAGCCAGGTGAAAACCAGGCACAGGAAGGGCCTATGCAATACTAATGCAATATTCTAGGAGATAAATATTGTTAAGCAATTTTCAAGCTGCAACTATTATTATTAGAGCTATGATTTTTTTTTTGTTTTATGTTTACCCTTAGCCACTAAAATAGAGTAAAATTTCCTACAGTAGAAGTGTACAGCAGAGAATACAAAATGTTCAAGGTAAAAATCTTGGGACTCCACTGGCTTCCTAATTAACATTTCAATAAATAAATACACTTAAAACAAAGTAGGTAGAAGTCAAGAGAGAAGGAAATAAACTATATAATTTTCCAAGAGAAGAGAGCATCTATCTTTAGGCAGGAGAAGGAAGTAAGGGTACTCATTCCAGAGAGTGCTGAAAGAGAGAGAGAGAGAGAGAGAGAAAGAGAGAGAGAGAGAGAGAGAGAGAACGAATTACGTTGGTAGTTCTTTAGAAGCAGATACAGGTACAGTAAAGATACACCCAGGTATAAAGCCTAAGGTTTGCCCAAGGGGTAAAAAGGGGAGCAATTCCTTCTGTGAAATATTAAAATGTTTTTCTTACCAACATTGTAAGAGAGTCAGAAAATCAAAAACTTTTCGAGATGTCATCACTTCATCTAAACTGTATTCTTTTTGGAACTGGGAATACCTAAATGCAAAATAAGTAGGTACAGATTATTAGGTAGCAATTTTAATTTTTTGTTGAAGGTTTTCTGGTCCAGGAATTAAAGAGAGAATAATATATAAGTATTCTTTTCACAACCAAAAGACAAACTTTCATATTTTCAACCTTTAATAAATAAGTCATTTGAATTGAATTTTTAAAAGCCTTAACTTAAAATACTATACACTGCATAATAAAAAATTTGACTAATCTTTGTCCTGGGTTCTTGTCGTGGATCTTCTAAAACCCTGGAATTTCCTGAGTGATAAAAGTGTCTTTGTTATGCTAATAAGGTGACGCTTGGTGGGCCTCCTGTTGGCAGGTAGTGGCACAGGAGGTTGCTCACTATCAAGAGAAAGAACTTAACCAAGTGCTTGCAGGGTTGGGGCTTTTCAGCCAGTTTGACCCCAGGAAGAAGAGGGGAGCTGGAGATTGAGCTCAGTCATGTGGCCAGCTACTTAATTGAGCATGCCTGCATAATGAAGCACCCATAAAAACTATGGAGACTGAACTTGGTGGAGTTTCCCAGTTGCTGAGCACCTTGGCATGCTGGGATGGTGATATGCCCTGACTCCGTGGGGGAGAGGGTGCAGAAGCCCTTCTTTAGGAACCCTCCCAGACCTCACCCTATGTGCCTCTTTATCTGGCTGTTCCTGAGTTGTAACCTTTACCTAATAATAATACAGATGCTCCTCAGCTTACAATGGGGTTACACTCCAATAAACTCATTGTGAGTTGAAAATATTGAGGCAGGAGATAGTCAGGAAGGAGGAAACTCCAGAGGTACCCCAGGGCCAAGATAAAGAACACAAAGGATGAAAACCCTGTTCTAACACTGGCAGTTCCTGCTTTCTGGAAAAGCACTGAATCTTAGTGAATCAGAAATGCATGTGCGCAGAAGATGCTACCTGACTCCTGCTTCATTATAATATCATTTTACAATAAATTAGCGTTGTGGGACCTCCCTTCCCAGTGGCCAATCAAGGAAATCATGGGAGACCACATGTGCAGTAACTTTAAAGTAATATAACTACTTGTACATGCACAATAAAAGCCCGCGCTAAGAGTAAAAGCCCTCTAGCCCCTGAGGTCAGGCCCTGCTAGGCTCTACTCTGCTCTGCGTTGGCCTGCTCCCATGTTCCGTGTGGTTTAATAAATCTTCTTTCTCTCACTTTCTGCTATAAACTCTGTGTGTTCAGTTCAATTATCTGTCCACAATCACCAAGAACCTGGTTACCTGTGCCCATCTGTGACAATATCATACATCAAAAATGCATTTAACCTACTGAACAAAATAACTTAGCCTAGCCGTCTTCTACAGAAGGCATATCTCTTGTGTACCACAGTAAAGTCAAAAACGTCCTAAGTCAAACAATCATAATTTGGGGACCATCTGTACTATAATCATAAATGCAGCACTTTCCTGAGTTCTATGAGTCAGTCTAGTGAATTACTGAACCTGATAGGGTCATGGGAACCCCTGAATTTATAGCCAGTTGGTCAAAAGTACAGATGGTCCACAGACCCTACTCACAGCTGGTATCTGACCTGAGAAGGCGGTCTTGTAGAGGACTGAGTCCTTAATTCATGTTTGCATTACTCCAGGTGGTTAGTGCCACAACTGAACTACAGTGCACCCAGATGGTGTCAGACCAGCTGGAGGTTAAAACGGAATACCATTTCTTTTTCCTAAATAATTATAAAATGCTACTTCCTCAAAAGCAAAATGAAATGATTTGCAATTCAGCCAACTTTGTGGTGATGATATTATGCAACTACATTCAATGAAGGCTAATGGAATTCTTAAATAAATATACAAAACCTACAATAAACTATCTGCATTCTTTAAAACACATTTCCTTTCTGATTGTTGAATAAAAGAAATTTACTTCTCTCCCTTTTGGCTCCTCTGAGAAAATAATCTGATGGTTTCAGATACTGCTCTGGTGAAAACAGCAGCAACAGACACCATAAGGGAGTTTCTAAAAGTAAACTTCAACTGGTGTGGAAATTAACAAGCCACTCAAATGTTTAGAAATAAAGCCCTTTCCACTCACATCTACATATGTGTCTGCATCTTTGCCTCCGAGGTTAACTTCGACCACCACCACCTTTCAAAAAATACTTTCTTTGTGACAGATCCTGTGCTAGGCATTGGGGACATAGACACAGTCACTACTAAGTAACTCAGTCCGAATCCATGAAAAATAAATATAATATAATATGATAAATGCCACGACAGAAATGTTATACAGGGTGCCATGGGAGCTCACAGGATGTACATCAAACCCAGACACAAGAGGGAACTTCATCCCAAAGACTAGGCAAATAAGAGGAAGAGAGAATTCCTGACAAAAGGATCAGCACATGCAAAGCCTCTTGAGGTGAGACAGTTCACTGAAGTTAGGGCATGAAGTTTGGGAGGGAATGTGGAGGCAAGGTGAGAAGATAGGGAAGGAGAAATGAATGAGGATCAAATCATGAGAGGACAGTATGTGGTGTTTACATTTTATACTGAAACAATGAGGAACTATTAAAGGATATCAAGCTATGAAGTAACATGATCAGATGGGTATCTCAGCAAGAAAACTGCACTTTTGAAAATGGATAATAAAGAGGCATTACCAAAAAGCAAGAACACCAACTAAGAACTGGACATTAATTACAAAAAGTAATGATAAGAACCTAAAGTATAGAATTAGAAGGGAAAGATGGGAGAAGTGATAAAGTCAAAAGATAGTATGGAGGCAGGATTCTGTATATTCCCAAATCATCTGCAACTCACACGGACACTGAGGAACAAGGCAGAGTCATGGATGACTTCTAGTTTTCTATCTTGAATAGTTAGGTATTGCTATATGTTCTGCCATTCACCATAATGAAGAATGCTGAAAGGAAAACCAGGTTGAGGGGAAATGATATATTTTCTATGACCATGTTGACTCTGAGGCACCTGTGGGACATCAAAGTGATGACAAATAGTAAAGTTATAGACACAGGTTTGAAGACCCAAGTGACATAGGCTATCATTAATAATATACTACTTATCACAGATTCTCATTGCCTTTAATTATTCTTATAATTCATGAGCATGCACTTGAGAATAGTTTCATAATTCAACCTTCTTAGAAATACGTAACAGGTATCTCTGATGACTGGTCAGCAAACACAGAATTCTCTTTCTTTGTTAGCCAAACAAAGCCTAATACAAGAATTTAACACCTGAAATTTCTGAGTCAAACCTAGAAATTCCTCACTGTTTCAAAGAGTTTTAAATGATGATACTGACATCCAGAAATGACATTTGCCTACTCAACATAATTGGGAACTTATAAAATGTAATGGAAGATGACGCAAACAAGGAATTTATTATCTTATTCATTGTTGCATCACTAGCAGCTAAAGCAATGTCTTGCAGATGGTAGACTACTGCATATATAGTGCCGAGTGAATGATATTCCCTTAAAAGAATGCTGTAATGAGTGGATAAGCGAGTGCTTAGTTGGATACCAGGTTAAATTAGAGAAAGACCTGGAGGCTTTGATTCTCTGGAGAAAGTCAAGAACTGCTGTTTGGAGCCTCAAAATCAGGAGACTGCACTGCTGTCAATTCCTCAGTATGTTGGTACAGTTCCTTACTAGTTTCAGAAAATCCCGAGGATTTTTAATGGTTCTCCAAGTTCTATGGACAAGGAAATCAACTCTAGACCATCTTTGTTGACTTAAGACTGCTTATCCTAACTCTACTATTCATTAAGAGCAAAGCTTTACTGAGCATATATTATGCTCCAATACCTTGCTGAATACTAAAGATAAAAGATGAGAGAATCTCAATCTCCAGTCAAGATGGAGGCATAGGTAGGCACTCTTTGCCTTCATGTACAACCATGAGAAGGATCACAACCAATTTCAAAACAAAAAACACCAAGAACTGCCAGAAAATTGCACTGTACAGAAGTCCAAAAACCAAGGATTTAAAGAAGCTATATTCATCCAGATGGGTAGAAGGGGTGGAGACAGGGGGCCAGGGTAGAGAGGAGACACCATGTGATGGTGGTGAGCTGGTGGCAGCCAGTGAAATGGGTGGCCCCACATTTATGTGTGGTGGTAAAAAATCAAGGGGACAAAAAAAATCAGGGGAATGCCTTGTGAGCGAGCGATCTCAGTCTCAAGCCAGACCACACAACCCCAGTTCCAGCACCAGAAAATATAAAGCCTCATGACTTCTGGCTATAAACACCAGTGGGGGTTGGGGCTGCAGAAGAAACTGCCAGTTTCTCAGGAGAGCCCAGAACGCATGCAAACCCACACACTCTGTGAACCACAACCAGGGCAGCATCTGGAGGGTCACCAGTCCCATGGGGAAGTGGGTGAAGTGACTGGAAAAGGGGCAAGTCAGAAATCAGCCAGCAGCAGCACTGTCCCCTCTTCGAATCCTTCCCCACACATGGAGCCACAAAGAGGTGAAGCAGGCTGCCAGCACTGGTGAATACCCAAGGCTCTGCCCCAAACAAAACTTAACAGGTACACTAAGACAGGGAGTCAAAGCAGCTCTACCTACTACACAGACACAGAGAGGCTGCCAAATTGAGGAGACAAAGAAATATGGCCCAAATGAAGGACTAGAACAGAACCCCAGAAAAAGAACTAAGCAATGCAGAGATAGAAAACCTATCAGGTGCAGAGTTCAAAACACTGGGGATCAGAATGCTCAGAAATCTCATTGAGTATGGCAAAAGCGTAAGGGAAGAAATAAAGTCTACACTAAGTGAAATAAAGAAAAACCTATAGGAAACCAACGTTGAAGGGGAAGAAGCCAGGACTCAAATCAATAATTTGTAGAATTATGAAGAAATAAACATTCAGCCAGAACAGAATGAAGAAACAAGAATTCAAAAAAATGAGGACAGTTTAAGAAGACTCTGGGACATCTCCAAAAGGGCCTACATCTGACTCATAAGGATGCCAGAAGGAGAAGAGGAAGAG